ATAATTACATCTTGTTTTGTATAATTATGTTATATTACATATGATGAATTCATAGTTCATTAAAAATTCTTAAAAAAGCTACTGCTCGATTTCAAGATTTCAATTATCATGCTTCTTATGTTGATATCACTATTATTAAAAGATATAATGTCATCAACTAATATGCCATTTAAAGAATCGTCTTATGTGCTCGAAGTTCCTATAGATATAGTTGAATAGAGATCACTCTTTGTTTACATAGAAATTAATTTTTATTGAGGCTCAGAACCTATGGGACACACTTTATATAATATAAAGATAAAAGAATAGTATTATTATTCTTGTTCATTTCATTCCTTAAGTACAGGTCTTATCATAATACATATTCGAAAGAAGAAAGAAAAAAGTCTATTCTCATGTGCTCATATTGCGTATTATATCAACAATTGTCTATATCTAATTGTGAAAATAAAATTATGTAGTTGTTTATAATGGTAGTTGTACAAAGATTAATAAGTATTGATAAGACAGGGTGTCGTTTTTATTGGGTAAGCAAGAAGAAGACATGTTATCAAATAATGTTGATGAAAAAGGATTATAATCTTTATTAGTTTGCATACAGTCTTGTCTTTCGTTACTAATAATACTTTCTTCAATTTGCATTTTATTGATATATTAGATAGAAAAAAAATGCTATTATACATTGACTCATATGAAATATTTGTCTATTCTATATAGAAAGAAAAAAATAAATTTATTTTTCTATATATATATCCAATTGTTTTTATCATAATATATCTCTCATATTTGTATATATATATATGTATATTATAGTTATTAGTAATTGTGATCCTTTATTTCTTTTGAATCTAACGAACGATGTCATAAGGGATAGATTGCACATACACAGGAAATACAATAAATAAAACTAAATAGATTATTGATTGCTTTGTGTTTTGTTGGTCTAAGTATTTTGCCAATTCTTTCTCTATCTTTATCTCTCTCTTTTTCTTTTGGAAATCTTCCAGTCATTGATGAAAGCATATATATATATATATATATATATAGTTATTGATAGTTGTGCCTAAAACAATTATTCCGGTGAAAAAATAGCCGAATATGCATCTCCTTCGAATTCAAATAAAACCACGTTCTCAACACCGACATTCTTCAGCAAGTGGTCAAAGTGGTTCACATGTAACCACTACGCGACATTCTCATGAGTCAACAACGTTAGCTGTACAATCACCACAAGTTAGAAGTACTATCTGGCAATCATTACCTTTTATTAACAGAGTGAGTAATATTTATATATCTATAATCAAGTTCTAAATAAAGTTTTTAATAAAAATTGATGTAGAATTTTTGTTTTTGATCACCTTGCGAAGTTTTTTTTTTTTTTATCTCAACTTTGTCAAAATCTAAATGAAAATAATATATTGTTTTGAGATATTATGATAGTAATCCTCACTAAGATTGACGTTCTATGCTTTGATATTAATTGCATTCAATAAGATTTGTACTTAGATTCGAAACAAGAATTATATACTAATGATAACGTATCTGTCAATAGTTGTCTTCGTCAACTGTAGATGATGTAGCATATGTATTTGGATGTTCTATCTGATATTTAGGATATATCGATTTTTCTCTTCGATCAAATGTAGAAAAGAAGACAGAGAGTCTTGTATGTATCTGGTGTAATGTGTGAATGATCAATTACTTAAGTGAATGTATAAGAAAAAAAAAAGACAAATAATAAATGACTCAGAAAGTATAGAAAAGATTGAAGAAGAAACAAAACAAAAAAAAAATACAAAGATGACTAGAGACAAATCATCGCGTACTTTATTATTGTTTTTCTTGCCTTCAAGAAAAGATCTTTTGTTATCGACTATTAGCTGGTCTTAATCTATTTCACGATGTATCCATATCCATGGAAGTTATTATCGCAGAAAACTAGTCCAACTTATCAAGAATCTATCAGTTCAAATGAAAGACATAAGAAGTTTTTACCATTTATTCGACGGTTTACTTTTACTTCACATCGAACAGAACAATCGATAGGAAAAGATAATAATGATATTGATCAAATGTCATTTCAAAGATTACAGGTACGATAAATACTTCTATATATTTTTTTTCGACTTGACCAATAAATATTCATGAAACACTTATATAGAACTACGGTTTTTTTTTTTTATTTTCTTCTTATCTTATGATTAATGATTGATGAAATATGTCACTATTCTTAACTTCCTGTTCTTCTGAAAAGAAACGTAACAAAACAAAAGCTTTTGGTAAATAGAACCGAAAAGAGAGAAAAAGTGAGACGATATTTAAGGTTTTTATTGATGTTATAAAAAATAGATATTTAATAAAACATTTCAAAGCAGATTTTACTAACAGTAATTGTTCGAATAAGATAAATCGAATTTTGCTAAAATTATCGATGTTTAATCATTTTAAAAATCTTTGATTACTCTCATAAGAAGGAAGAAGAAAGAAAAGTCTTGTCTTTCGATTACCTTACCGTAGGAGGTGCTATTTAGTAGCTGATTCAAAAGTTCTATATCTTTTCTGCAACTATAACTAGATGTAGCTTTGGATTGAAAGTTGATCTCATGCAAAGTTCTTGTTTTCAATTGCTTGAGCTTTCTATTCATAGTAACGAACTACTAGAGCATTTGTATGTTATAACGTAGTCAGCATACTATCGGACGGATGATCCGAGACAAACAATCGTTAGTGACTTGTTCAGGATTATTCCGTAGTTTGTCGTATCGAATGTTGAACATAATAAATCATAGATACATGTCGAACAACGTAGCCACTCAGCCATAGTAGCTACTGTAATCAGGAATTGTATGCATCAATGTCATTTTTCTTATCATGGTAAAAACTTGTCAGAACAGGCTTTTGAGGCTGAAATATGGAATCCATATGTGCTCTTTAATCTTATTGTTCTAATACAAAATCCATCATGTAAAAGCCCTCTAGCAGGCTATAGTTGTTTTCTAGGAATAATCGGTTGTCAGAAAAACGATCTTTCTTTTTAATGTCTGTATTTTGAACAGAAATTAGTTTTTTGTTTTTACTGATGTTTTGTTTTTATTTGCCTTGTTGCTATTGGCTTGTTGTTTTTCATTGTCGGTTTTTCTTTATTTAATATTATTATTATTGTAATAATTGACTTGATTGGTAGATAAGTCTGTTGTACATATATATTATATCTACATCAGATCTCAGAACTTTATTATATATCTCGATAGATTCAGAAATATTGATATTGATTATTCCCCAAATTTATAACTTGGTCATTACATATTTTTTTTTTGTATCCTAATCATATAACGACTATGGCAAATCAATGCATTACCATCCATCATTTTTGATATCTTTAACATAAGTTTTTATCTGCATTAATTAGATCATTCACAAATGTATTGCAGCTATTCGAATTTCAAGAAAGGCTTTGGAGTGTTCTAGAATTTTCTAGAACATCGTAGATCTTGTTGCTTATGCTTTTCCGCAACTTCTTTGGTTGTTAACGGACCTGTTTTTCTCGATTGCTATGAAAGTGTACCTAATGCTCGTTAGTCTTTCTATCTCCATCCCCCACCACACTGCTATGAAGCGAGGAGAGGGTAGGGCAATCGTAAAACCTTGACTTAAAACTTACACTCACTATAGTTTTTCTTCGAAAAATATTTTTGAAGTTCTACGAAAGTGTTTTTGTAAGAAAACTAATATTTAAAACTTATCCTTTCGAATCTAAGCATTATCACTTATAATATGCATACCAAATCTATCTCTCTTGCTATATATATATATATATATATATATATATTTACATATAAGGAGAGAAAGAAAATTGATTTGATGATAAGTGTAGATATCTTATTCAAAAGTCTATTTTTATCAACAGATCGTCAGTATGTATTGAAGAAAATTTGCCAAGAAGAAAGAGCTGACATTAGATGTTTCTTGATTAAAAAATTGAGGGTAGATACTTGATTTTTTTAAAATTTTCTGTCAATTTGCATTAAAAGGAAATTACTATAATCAAAAACTTCAGAAAAATCAGATTAATCGGAAACATCACTTTCTTGTAATTATTATGGTAGACATCCGTCTTTAAATGTACGAATCATCTTTGATTGACAATCAGATGCTTAAGTTATAAGAAAATACTTAAAATCAAAGCAAAAGACATTCAAAAGAATCAAACCTTATTCCAATAAATTATATTTTTAAAATTTAAAATTAATGAAAAAGTTAGAAAAGAAAACAACTTTTTCGCCCTTGGAACTTCATCATAAGCAATTCTTTGGTAGAACTGAATTATTTATATCTGACAAAAGAATAGGCTAATTACATTGACTATAATGTGACAAAAGATATAATTCACAACAACCAAATGGTGTCTTTTTGTCTACAGATTATATAAATCATTATGCTTGTTTTTAACTCTTATGCGTTATAGCGAATAATATACTAGTAAATATATAAATCGTTTTGACGCATGCTACTAACGAGTGCGATACTTTTGTCGTCGTATTTTTGGGTATGATAATAACATCGAATGTCTGTTCGCTACTGATAATAGATTTTCATAGTCAACAGTACTTCACATATAATCTTCACAGCAGTGAGCACGTACGCACGCCATCCGAAAAAAAAAGGTCGCCGCCTCTCGCCGATCAATAAATATATAACATGTTAAAAGAGCATATTCATCCTATGGCATGATTTTCTAAAGATGCTCTTTGCATTTTTTTTTTTTTATCTGTCTTATCTTTGATACGCCTATTTTGATAAAAAATAAGAAGAAAACGTATTCTAGAAAGGAAATGACAATAGTACTTGCAATTAATTGACGCACATACATTCTTGAATCGTTCTATTTTGTTTTTCATCTTTCATCGTTTGTTATTCCTTGCACAAGCAACAATCGATAGCATATATATCTTTTATATACATCTACATTATATAATATTGAAATAGAATCCTGACAAAAAATGTTTCATATTTTTCGTTGGCGACGTGATCCTGAAAATATAACACCTTCAGATCTTACAACAAATCAAGAGCATAAAGACTCTCATTTACGACATCATGGATTACAATTCTATCACGGAAAACCGCCATTTGAACGTTTATTTCATGTAAGAAGACATCGATCATCTTCCGATTATGATAAACGACAGGTAATTTAAAACAAAATTTTGTAGTCATTCATGATGTTTTTGTTTTTTGTGTAAATATTTATAATTTTATCGGGTACAAATGACGTTCAATAATCAGTATGAAAGATTGCCTATGCCTATAGGTTAAAGAAGAAAAAAAACCTGATTTTATGAGTATTGTCAGTTGGGTACCATGAATAAAAATGTTAGAAGATATTTAATGTGATATTTACAATATTAAGACAGATATTATGGCATTAGTTACTACTCGTCTTATACAGCCTAAGGCGAATAAAAAGGTATTTGTTGTTGTTCTAAACTGTTTATATATAAAAAACATATGTTAATATAAAAGAAGATCAATAAAGAAAAACATTTATATATATATGTATATAGGAGGTGAATTTTGTTTTTTCTAATTGTTCGATTAAACGATTATAGATTATTATAACCTCTTCTATAAAGAGTCATATTTGAAAGAATGAATTAGAAAATTTTGATTGATATGAATTTTTCTTTTTTTTTTGGATATAAAAATTTAAATACTCTTTTATCAATTTAGAAATAAAAATACGAAAACTTGTATGTGTTGGTCACTCTTCATTATCAAATACCTCTATAAATATTTTAATAGATTATATTCGTAAAAATGAATCTTAAGTATTAGTTACGAATAAGATGTAAAATTAATAAACAGAAGTAATATTTTTTTGTTGTTATTAGTAAATACTAGTTAAGAGTATCTTAGCTTCAGTGAATTGTTCAATATGATAACATTATGTGTATTACTTGTATATAAGAATGTCTTCATAAAACTAGAAAATTCAATTATAATTTCGATAGATATTCGTATTTATGCGTTTGTTATTGACAACTGAAGGGCATCCTAATTATGTTAGAGTAATCTTAGAAACGGAAAAGGAGAATTTCTGTTTCTTCTTTTTTCAAGAATTCATTGTATCTATCAAAGAAAAATATTTATCTGTTTTGTATAAGTATTTTCTTCATATTGAATTCATTTATTAAAATAGATGTTCAAATTTTGAGTTACTTTTTTTTTTGTCTTAATGTAGATAGATTTATACGTCATTTTATCAATTAATTATATAACTGGATATATTAGAAACAAAATGAATGATTGTGTTTTGTAATTGCAAGCTATTTATCAGTATTTATTTATTTATTTTTCAGTATTTCTATTATTCTTTGTCTTTTCTCATTTACTCAATGTCATTTTATAATAAACTACAGTAAAGAACAAAAAAAAAAAACATATTTCTACTATTATTATTATTGTATGCTATTTCATTAATAAGATGATAATCCATTGTAGTCGTTCTTGTCATCATAGTCGATTGAATTGCTCAATAAATGAGTACATTTATTTTCTTAACTTGCCTATTCAGTTTCAACATAGATCATATTATTCTAACTACAATGACATTCCATTCCTTGGACTTTTATTCTCTTATTTAGTAACAGAGTAGGTTACTAACTAAGAATTTGCATGTGATGTTGTTGTATAATTTCGAAGAGCAACAAAACTTCTTTTACACATAATTGGTATTCATGTATTTATTCTATTACATAGTACATAAATATTTCTTTCGATCTCTGTTTATATATATATATATATATATATATACAATTTTTTTCCTTAAACTAAATAACCGATTTTATTCTGTTTCATCCATTATTGCTAATTTTATTAAATCTTTGCCTTGCCCTTGCTTCCCGAAGCACTTACTTATTGAGAAGCTCAAACAGCTAAACACGATACCAATATATATATATATAGTTCAAATGGCTATTTAATAACGACAACGATTGAACGAGCGAACGCATGAAAAATCATTACTAAGCAAATTGTGAACAAAAAAGAACCAAAAAAAGCCCGAGAAGAAAAAAAGACAACAGACACTAACCGAATGATGGAATGATGATTATTGAAATTCGAGAAGAAATGTCACTTGCTCAACAACAATAATAATAACAACAGCAAGCAATTAAGTTTTATATATATATATATATATATACGTATCGTGTTACAAATCAATTCGTTTAAGTATGAATATAATGAGTATCATTATATATAAATAAGATCATGCTGCTCGGTCACCATCGTGCTAAACGACAACATCAGAAAAAAGTAAGAATATAAATATTTCTAACAATCAATTAAGTAAATTAACAGTAACTACATTGCTTGGTATAAGTAGAAATGAAGTGAATCTTAAGGATTATGTCTTTGATTACCGAACACTATCAATCATGTCAGATACTTCTTTAGGGAGGGAAAGAAGAAAAAAATTATCGATTGAGTTCGTGTATGTTGTCTTAATGACGTCCTTCTTCGTTTATTATTATTATTATTATTATTATTATTATTATTATTATTATCATTATTATGTCCTTCCTTACAATTGCATGTATTTCATGAATTTCATTTGACAGCAAAGGTATGTTTAAATATAACGGAAATGAATTCCCGTCAATCTGGAATGTCATTATTACACTTGCTAAAATACGCCTATTGATTTCCTGCTGCTTATCGTCTTCAATATAAAGAAAACTTGGTTTTATTTGAAAATATAATTATTAAATAATTAACAAAATAGAACAAAAATACCTAAAATTAATAATAGATGATTTATTCATCTTAATTGATTGAACAAAAAAAATTAAATTTACGTAAATATCGAATAATTGTATTATTGAAATTTCATATATATATAACAGTGGATTATATTACTTTATTATTCATAATGACAAATCGTTGCCATCGGTTGTTTGATATTTATATGTCTATATACTGGATTTTCTTAGGCGTATCGTTGTTGGTTCTGATACTCACTCCATCAGGCGGAAAATATACTTATCTCATTGCGTTGTCCATGATATAATTACTCGTAGAGTATGTTTCTTTCTTTTTATATGTGCCTTGACATGCTTCCTATACCAGCTGATCTCTATGCGTCAATGCTTATCTCAATCGTTTTCTTTTTCCTGCACTAGATCAAATATAATCAATAGCCTACGGCCTACCAAAATACTGATTACTTATATACATGTATATATGAATTGTTTTTCTATTTTTTTTTTGTTTTAAAAACAAATATAAAAAACGATTGACATTAAATAATTTAAAGGAAGGCGAAATATAGTTAATTATATAGGTTATTCAATCATCATTAATTGCTTTTCTAATAAACTCTATTAAGTTATGTTTACTATAATGAGTTCTCATGAGCATGTATGTATATCTATCGATATGTATATGATTTTTCTTGTCATTTTCGACAGTAACGAATATGACAGTCAAATCAAGAAAAAGAGAAAAAAAGAGAACAAATGTTTATATTAAAAGTCATTCGGCAACAGTAGCATTTTCTACTGATCGATGTCTTGATTGTAAAATTAGATTATTTCTATAGTCAATATGATAGGAATTTCTCATTTTGACTTCAAACCAAAACGACAGGAGAATCCAATTGAGTATGCATCTGTCTACAAGTTTGATATATCATCATCTTATCCGACGGCCGTCACCGTGGAGGACGACTCAATGTTGTTTTCCTCCTATCTATTACCCTTCTTCGTCTCTCTATCTCTCCCTCTTCTTCTCCTCCTCCTTGGTTTTCTTCATTTTTGCTGTGTCTTGGTCGTTGTCTCAACAGAATAATCATTGGGTGTAGTACGACAACGTCCCTATTCGTGCCGAAAACAACAACTTGTGAGCTAGAGACTCAACATATATATATATATATATATATAACAGTAGAACAGGAATAGAAGTATGATTACCGTCGCCGATTGCAATGATTGCCACGAGGCTACATGCAAAGCGACTTTCAAGTTCAACAGTCAAACATTCAAGTATAACCAGTATTCATAATACATCTGCTCGTCATACTTACCAACAACGTCGTAAAACAAGCCAACGACCTTCTGAGGATATTCGAAATATTGATAGTGATAATAATGAAGATGATGATGAACATGATGACAAAATTCATGAGACTACTAAGGTAGAAAGTATTTCTTAATCTCATTCGATTATTAAAATATTAGAAATTTAAAAAAAGTTGGCTTTTTTTTCTCAATATAAGATATAAACAAGTGTATTTAACACGAATTATCTTTTTTTCAACAATTCTATCAATCGAATATTTTTCTTAATAGTTGAATGATGACAGAATCGATAGGAGGTATTCGACAGTATTATTTATATTTATATCTATTATATATACACATACACTTTATCTAAAAAAAACTTTCTATGAATGAGATATTCATATTTGTTCGCATACTGTCATACCTACTCCACTTACGGAGACAGTTGTCTTATATACAATAAGCGTCGTCAATACAAGCCGAATTGATGACAGATGGAATGCAGTCAATGATTGGAGGCGTACAAACTTATGTACATAAGAATAATAAACAAATAATGATAATATGAAATGATTATTAAAAAGAGAAAAGAATCATAAAAAGAGAGAGAGAGAGAAAGCAGTAAAAGAAAAACACTTGTATATTGTTTATCAAATCAAAGTTCTTATATATTAGTTTGTGTATTTTCACCTGTTATTATTTTCCTAGTCGAACTATAAAGTAATGTATATTTACGTAACCTTTTCTTCTATATAGAAATTAGTATTATCCTATATATTGCATTTGTAAAAATGAAACTGCTGTCAGTGACAAAGAAGAAACCTTTTATACTCATTTCTTTTTTAAAATATTCAAGTTGAATAGCAAAAAAAAACCTATTTTTCTATTATTGTTTTTCACGCGTAAATTTTAAATGAAGCTTTAAATAATCAAAATCAGGAATCATGCGCTTTAGTTTCAATCCATGCAAAAAAATATATCGGCAATCTTTTCAATCAAAAATAAATTTATCATTACCAGATTCTTCTATTTCTTCTCATCGTGGTTATGTATCTTTATGTGATCTTACAACTGAAACATCTTCTATCTATTCAATTAAATATCAGTCACAATCGAATAATGATATTCATGTGACTTATTTTTATTGTTTTCATTTTTATATTAGTTTTTTTTTTGATTTATTAATTCTAGTTCAAAGTTACCAATCGATCTGCTGATGCAGCACAAATACGTCCAACTCAAACAAAATATGCACGTATGCACGCACCTATTTTATCATTTGATGAAGAAGGAGACATTCCATTACCAACAGCTAAACATAAACGTATATTTCATTTATTCTAATATAATAATGAATTCTATCATTTATATTATAGATTTACTTTCTGCTAATATTCCACCTCTTTCTGATTCTCGAGATAATCTTTCAGTATCAAAATCAGGTGGTGATAGTGTATCAGTTGAACAAACACGAAAAGAAAAATTTCGACGTGCACTACGTTCTGTATCGAAAGTTGCTTTTAGTCAACTTGGTTTAGGTATGTTATATTTAAGATTGCAAATACCCTTAGAATCATACAGAATGACCAAAAAAAAAGCCAAAGAAAAGAACCGTGTAAGATAAAATGACCATCCTTCATTTGAAAAGTAATCTATACCGTTTTGTAGATCAATTCGTGTTGCATCGAATAGTATATAGGAAATTGCTTTTTCATCAAGTATTTATGTTATAAGAAATCATATACCAGTCAAGGAATACTATCATAATTGTGGATAATATGATCAAATATTAAGACTCAGGATGTCTCCAAAACAATCTGTATCAAATTTTGTTTAAAGTTATTTCAATAGAATCGTGTATACTCTCATAATAGCTTTTTTCGCATCCAAAATTTTAGCATTTTTACTCAGTTCTGTAATTTTTCGGTTTTATGATGTTTTTAATTCTTCGACACTGTGCCTGAGGGCAAAAGCGATCAATCATGCGGCTTTCTTAGAAGCCGTATGCCATCAAAGTCTATAAACATACTAATTGGTTGTCCTCTGAATTGTTGTGAGTCATGGTCAAAGCTGGCAATCAATGCGTGAAAAAAGCCAATTTTTCGATTCCTAAGAACAAAAGAGTATGCGAGTTTTGCAATGAATACTCTTTGAGTGAAAAAGTTTCCATCTACTAATAACAAGTTTATCATGCTCTATCATTTGACCTAAATGTATCTGTCGAATATGACAAAAATTATTTTTCGCTTTCCGACTTCTGAAGTAGGAGTACGGGAATATGCAAAATTTTTAATTCTTATAACAGACCTAATATATATTTAATCTAATGGAGTTCCATACTCTTATCACATCCAGCTACTGAAAATCTAAATTCGTAATGAATGAAATAAAATAAAAACTAATCTTTGCGATAGTCTATTCCTGTATCCTCTTCCAGGGATCCGAAAGCGAAAAATATTTTAGCCATTTTCGAAAGATCCATATGTGTCAAACGATGGGACATTATGAACTTATTATTAATAGATAGAAATCTTTTCACTCAAAATGTATCTCTCACAAAACTCATACATTTTTCTGTTGCTAGAAATCGGAAATATCGAGTTTGATGACACACGATTTCTGAGAAAGTTGCACGATTGATTGCTTTTGCTCTCAGGAATAGTATCGAAGAATTTAAAGCATCATAAAACCGAAAAATTACACAACCGAGTAAAAATGCTAAAATCTTGGATGCGAAAAAAGCTATTGTGAGAGTATACACGATTCTATTGAAATAACTTTAAACAAAATTTGATCTAGATTGGTTTGAAGAAATCCTGAGTCTTAATATTTGATCATATCATTCACAATTCCGATAATATTCCTTAACTAGTATATGACTTCTTATAATATAAAAACTTGATGAAAAAGCAGTTTTCTATATACCGTTTGATGCGCTACAATTTGATCTACAAAACACTATAGATTACTTTTCAAATGAAGGATGGCTATTTTATACGACGAGATCCTTTTATTTCGAAGTTTGATGAGTCTGAAGTATTATTGCAAACATTGATAAGTTCGGTATTATTAATTCGATATCTACTAATTTTCATTTCGTTGGAAAAGACTGAAAGGTAAAATACAAATTTCTTTGAGTTCTATTTATCAAAAGTTGACATTCGAAAAATTTTTTTCATAAAACATATATTTCTTTTAAATTGGTTTTAATGTCTCATTTTCATTTTATTTGAAATGCTTCAAAACAAGCGAATTTATTCGTTAACAGAAGTCACATGTATGTCTACAACGAGTGTTTAGACAAATTACATGTATTTATAAAGGTATCTTCCTCAGTTTTAACCGTATCCAGTTTGCAATAAAGATAAAGCTAATCAAGCTGAAATTTTTATCATAGCTAGAACATAGACCATGATCGAATTCGCATTTTGTAAGATATTTTTTTTTGAGGTGACTTGGAGATACTCTCTTTTTTTAACTCAAAGAAAGCGCCTATTATAAACTTTCATTTAGAAAACCAGTTTGTGACATTAAAAATTTTATAACTCTGCATGAAACGATTACAATTGAAAATAATCAAAAAACACCGCTAGAAAATATACTCAAGTATCTATGATAAAAATTGTAACACTAATCGTACTAATTTAATGGAGAGAAAGAGAGCATCATAAGCAGATCAGGTTGAAAAATATTCATACTCTATGTTATATGAGGTGAAAGTATAGAACTTCGCTCCGACTCTGTATGTCAAAAAAAATTTGTTTTCAAATTGAAAAATTCTTCAACAATTGATTAAGTAAGATTGAATGATCTCTCAAATTACACAAGACACTTGATACTATCATCCGATGTTATCAGGTCAAATATAATTTCCTAGTCCAAAGGGAGATGATAACCATAAGTGCTCTTAGATAAAAATAATCGTAGACATTTATTTTTCTCGTAATATAAATAATCTTCTATAGAAACTAGATTTTCTAAATAAAATAAAATTTGAAATTAATTTATATTATTATAGGTGGTCTTGTTGTTGGTTATGTTATTCTTGGTGGATTAATATTTGATGCAATCGAATCACGTTTTGAATTAGAACGCTTAGAAGCAAAAGAACGAAATCGACAACATTTTGTTGATCAATTATATACTCATGCATATAGAGAATTTAATCGTGTTTTAAATCAAACATTTGAACTTAAATATGCATTATGGCGTGGTGGTTTATCACGACATGATGAACGTAATGAAGGATGGCAAATAGATGTTGAAAAAGGATTATGGAAACATCATGTTGATGATGAATTATTACAATATTTTGGTGCCGAAGAAAAAAATCAATATGGTGTTGAACAACAACAAGAACAAAATACTGTACAAGTTTGGACATTTTCTAGTGCTATGCTTTATTCAGCAACAGTTATTACAACAATTGGATACGGAAATATCACACCAAAAACAACAGAAGGAAAAATTGCAACAATGGTAAAATAAAATTTAATTTTCTATTTTTCTTACATGAACATATAATTAAAGACATATAGACAATTTCAAAAACAAACAATCTAATTATATCTTTACTATCTCCGAATGAGTTCGTTATAGATATGTGCAAAATGGTCACGGTCCTATTGAGACTAGGACCGATTGACGATTTTTAATCAAGATTGAAATCAATTCTTTTAGACAGGATCCAAGATTCAATTTTTTTACTGATCAACACTAATTGTTTTTTAACCGAGAAAAAAAACGGCTGATCTCAATTACGCCTAGTTCTTTATATCTATCAAAGCTGAGAACATTCGTTAGTTGAAACAGCTAGAATTTTGAAAATTCGTTATATGTTGTACGAGATAGTACAGCATTGAGAGCCGAAGTGAGAAGAATTTTATCCTATACATGTCTGGTCATGGTTAGCTTCCACTATGGAGGAGCATCTATTTGTAAGACTACTAGACTCATGAAGTTTTCTATTTGAGAAAATTTTAATTCTTATGCAATGAAAAAATTTTCTAATCATGCCATTCATTACAATAAAGTACTTGCATTGTTCTATTAATAGTATATCAACAGAAAAAAAATAGCTGAATTGAATAGACTTTCTCCTACTTTCTTTTATGTTATCTTTTGAAAAATTTTTATTCTAAAAAATAAAAGTTTAAATATATATATTTTTTTTCTATATATAGATATATGCTATGATTGGTATACCTTTAATGTTTATGTGTTTAACATATACAGGTGATTTATTGGCTGATGCATTCATATCGGGTTATTCAAAAATGGTTAATTGTCTTTATCGACAAATATGTCGTGGTCGTTTAAAAAATTGTTTACCTGATGATACTAGACGAAGTTTTGAACAACCTGATGTAAGAATATTTTCTTTTATAATTTTTCATATTGGTTTATTTTATTTTTATTTAGTCAGAAGGTGAAGACACTCGACATGTACCTATTGTAGCAACATTAGCTGTACTTGCACTTTATATAGTAATGGGTGCATTACTTTTTGCTCAATGGGAAAATTGGCATGTATTAGATGGAGCTTATTTTTGTTTTATAACATTTACAACAATTGGTTTTGGTGATCTTGTACCAGGTAAAGGTACAGTAACAGAATCTAAAGCAGGTAAAGCAGCAATGTGTGCATTATTTCTTTTGTTTGGTATGATTGTTATGGCCATGTCATTTAAATTAATGCAAGATGAAATTCTATCAAAATTTCGTCGATTTGCTCGACGTTTCGGTTTTGTTAAACGAAATATAACTGGTCCTGGATGAAAAATAATTATAACAATCAAAGGAAATATAATTTTATGTTCTAGGTGAATTTTTGTCAATAGGCTTTTTCATTGGTTTTTTTTTTCTTTTGCTCGTCTGTGATTCTTTATGCATGTTCTTTTTTTTTTTTTAAATGTATCGTTTGTGTTTGCAATAATTTTTTTTTCTTTTTTTCATTTCAACATTGAAAGTCAAATAGTGTCATTATCACCATAACTTTCATATGTTTGTCTTTTCTTTTTCTTTTTTTTCTTTTCTTTTTCAGGTTTGTGCTCTCTTTTGAAACTGATATAATAAGTAGACATTTTAGAAAGTTTGAAATATATATGTACATAATATTATGAATTCTATGTTTATGTTTATTTATTTGACAAGGTTTTCATTTGAATAGGTTAACTATTAATATGATCAAATATTTAGAATAATTGATAAAAGAAAAACAGAATAATAATAATAATAATAAGCAAAACTAGTAGTCTAAACTAATTCATAGATTTAATTGCAATTTAGAGGAAAAAAAAATAATAACTTAATACAATAGTTTTTCATGCCTTAATTATTTATATTACAACTACAAAAGAAACCAGATAATTGATTTTTACACCTAAGAAACGCAAATGCCTAAAAATAGATGTGTAATACAACACTATATTGATTTCTTTCGATTGATTATTAAAAATTATAATCACAAATTATTGAATTCACCGTATTGTTGATTAATATATTCAATATATCAGATCTCATTTTTCTCTTGCAAAAAAGAAAATTAATTTCTACTATTCAAACAGCCATTCAATATCGATACAATTACCTTGGTTCTACAGCTTTTTTTTCTATTAATAGTATTAGATTTTTAATTGTCAGATATTGAATAACCATACCTAAAAGAAAATTATCAAGAGAAACCATTATTAAATCTATGTATAAGAAAAGCATTTGTCACGCAATAGTTCTATTTCTTTCAACAAACTATTAGCAATTACATTTGTCATAATTTACAGAACAAAGAAGTTTGATGAAAGATTCTTGTTTCATCTGAGATAATTTTTAATTTTTCAAAATAAATCGAATTTAATTCTATATGCTGAACTATTATTATTCAATATCTTCAAAGAACTTAATTCATCAAATATATAATTTTTATTTTCAGAGGACGCTAGAAGTCGAATTATCTCAATATACATATGTACATTCAATATTTTAAATAAACGATTATTCTTTTTTTAACCTATCAAAATTTGATTTACATAATTGTTTCTTTAATATTCAATATTCTAGACTAATGATTTTTTTTTATCACCTTTTCATATTTATTTTTATCTATATAAGTGATTTTAACTGATGAGGTATTAATCGTTTGACATATATATGTATATGTTCATTAAATTTGACTTTGATTACTACATTTTCATTTGTTGTTATTGTTTAGCTGTCTAAATTGATGTCGATTACTTGAAGGCAATTATGCACTCAGCCGTTTCTCATACAATCATCTCTGTCTCGTTTTTTTTTTCTTCTTTTGCTAGGATCTGTTTGTATGTTTGCTTACCCCTTTCGTCTAACTCTCTCTATCTAACATACGCATATACATATACAAGTTTCAGATGACCTTTGAATGCGAAAGTATGTATGTATGTACACGTGTATATTGAACATCAGCTTGATGTGACACACAAATATAGTCTAACGAGAACGAGCAAGAGAGAAGAGAAATATTTCCTTCTGTCTCTCTCGCTCTCTCTCTCTTTCTCTTTCTTGTATTCTTGTAGATGTCGAGATAAGAGAACAGAAGAAAAATGAGAAAGGGAACAAGCATATCCGTCTTTCAAACGCTTTTAATTTGACACATATGGACAATGAGTAGTACAAGGAGAAAATTTTCTTTTTTTTTTTTTTGTAAGATTATATCTGTTTAATCTGATGATAAACTCTGAATGGTATGTTAGAAAAAAAAAAGTCAAGCTATAGACAAATACATTCTTTTCGTTTGATTTGAAGCATACCATCCTTGTCAATCCTTCATATCTTGTTCACTTATCAAAATCCCTGAAAGGTGCTGAACGGTCGAAAAGTCCTTGTCTTGTTTCATTTTCTAGATGCATAATGGGAACGAAACTATACATACATACATTTATATATATATGTGTGCAACAGTGTCATGCATCATGAACAATCAACAAAATGAGGTATACATGTATATGACAATGAAACATTCATACCATTGTCACATAATGAATGAAATAAAGTAAAATGAATAATGAAAAGTGAGACAGGCAAGATGTTAAAACGTGCTTACAAATCTTTTATACAGATCAGACGGGCAACTAGACATAATAAAAAGAGAAAAAAAAAATTATTTGTCTGTCTGTGCTAGTCGTTTATTTTATTTTATTTTTCTTTTCTCTTTTTCTCACTCGTTTTTGTTGAATGTCAAAATAGGAGAATAGAATAGTGGACGGAGGTCGAGAGGAATACAGAATGATGATTTATGATGTACCATTGACCGTAGCCAGTCGTTACACATCATCATTGCCCTTGAAAAAGAAAAGCAAGTACTTAGTACGGCATTGAAAAAGCAGCAGACGCCTACTTATGTATGTGTCGGTGTGTGTGTGTGCGCATATGTAGATGTGTTTTTTTTTCGATCATCTCAAGTTTCTTCTCTATAAATGCACAAATCTAAATGAAAATTTCGTTCTAGTTTCATAGTCTTTTTTTTCTTTCTTCATCTCTTCTATTTGAATTAGAAATATCCCTATGTTGTAATAACAAATTGTCATTCTTTTGAGTTCTTTTCGTACGTAAGCATATACATCTACATAGGTAAAGAAATCAATCGGGCATTATTGGTGATTTACATTTCGATGGTAGAATAAGTGTCCCTTGAATTTTTTTTTTCTCTTCATATTACTAATAAATCGAATACATCGTTGTCTATGAGGTATATATATATATATATATACATACGTATATTCGATCATACGCACAATCACATACTATACACAAAAAAAAACCCTAACCGAAGAAGAACGTTAATGATGACGTTGATTTTTATCATAAATAGATGTATATATATAGCGTACTGAACATTTTTGCTATACATCTCATTGCTCGTTTGGCCACAGCAGAAGAAGAAGAAGAAAAAAAGAATAGGTCTCCTTTCTCTCTGTCTGTATAACCCACATATAAATAAATTTGCATAAAGTTTCGTTGTCGTTCTTTTTCTCGTCTTATTCAGTATGGTCCATGATGATTATGATGATGATGATGATGATGATGATGATTGAGGTAGTGTTAGTATGTTGAATTTATTATATGGACATAGCAGATTATAGATCCGCCCTCAATCTTTCTCATCTTTTCAAATTAAGCTTTTTTTTTTGTATCCTTGAACATAAATGATATACCTATTCATGTATTTTCTTTTTTTTCCTTTCTTCTGTTTTCATATGTTCAAATAGATGATCACTAAATGATGACGTGATATATCATCATCATCATCAAAATCATGTCAACATTTCAACAAAATCAATTGAATGGTTTTTCATCAATACTTTTATCACCATCGTCAACAAGCAATACAACAATAACAAATAATAATCAAATAATTTTATTTGATAATAGTGATCAAGGTTCAGTTGATTCTGATTATACATCATTAGGTAGTTCGAAATTTTATGGTAATGGCGGTTCAACATCATCACTTCATCATCAAGGACGTTCACAATCATTTGATGAATTAGCATCAACAATAACAACAACAACAATACCAACACGACATTTTAATGGGACATTAAATGTAAATAAATTAAATAATGATCCATTACAATTTGTTAAAATTCATCCAAATCATGAATTAATTGAACGTGCACAAGAACAATTAACATTATTTGAATCACGAAAACGTTTACAAGAAAATTTTAAATTAAATAATAATCAACATAATACCGATGGTATTATTAATAATCCAAAAACAAATAATTTAAATGATGATGATACTGATTGGTCAAAGGTAATTATTTTCTTAACTTTAGTTCATATTCCAAAAATCTTATTTAGTCTACGCTTTTAGAAAAAAAATACGAATTTTCTCTTTTTATCCTATAACAACTTCAATCCATTTAAAATGAACTCATTATATTTCATAAATATTTCATGCCTATATATGAAATAGTTCAAATCATATTTTTTTCTCATTTATACACGTCGAAGGACTTTTGAAATCATGACGGTTTTCTTTAATTTGTCACAGTTAATTTCTTTCAATGAAAATTTTTGACCTTCTTTTTCTCTTTTTTTTTTTTGAAAAAAAAAGAAAAGAAAAGTATTTCTTCACTTACAACAAAAAAACCAACTAAATGTTATTTATCTTTTATAATGATATATAAAAAATGTTAGAAATTTTTTTTATGATCTCATATTTGTGAGAAATCGACACCAAGAGACATTTATTATCACATCTTATCTTTCCTGTTGCACCTACATAACTTCATCTTTCTTTTCTTCTTTCGTTTTATGTGACATACATATATTCGAATAGGAAAATGTCTAAGAAAATCGAACAAATATTTTACTTAATTAAATTTACTTGCTTTAGTGTATATACATACCAAACAGAAATAAGCAATAGGTGTTACCTAATCCACGATATTTGTATCTTGCGTCATCATGGTCATCATTCTCTTTTTTCTTTTGTCTTTTTTTTTTTCTTCGCTTTTAGCAATCAATCAGTAAAATAAGTTGTTGTATTTGTAATAGAGATTAGAGAAGCTAGTATGCATGGAAGCGAACATAATATGCTTCATTGCTTTTGTTTTAATCCATTTTTCGAAAACAAAGCTTTTACTTCGATAAGAAAAATAATAACGGTCACAATAACATTAAAACAAAAAAAAAAAAGTAGAAACTTTATTTTTTTTTTTTTTGGTTGTATCTTTTTTATTGGTATCAAAAGACGTTGCTCTTTCCGCGACGACGCCGTCCTCCTTGCGATTGATGTTATTGTTTAAAGAGAAGAAGAGAAGTGAGAGAGAGAGAGAGAGAGAGCGAGAAGGAGAAAGAAGCAAGTCGCTTGTTGGTTTCTTATTCGAGATTGAATCAAAGACGTGTGTTCGCATAACTCGATTACTCTCTCTTGCTGTCTAAACAGTAGAGGAAGAAGAAGACGAAAAAAGAAAAAAAAGGAGGTTACATTCTTTCTTCTACTACAGTGTACACGACGCACCTTGCTCAAATACAAAACAAAAAAAAAGCCCAAAATTGTAGTGGTGCAAGTATAGACGACGAACGACGAAGAAAAAAAAACGAAGATATACATACATACATACATACAAACGAATGGTTGCCTTACGGCATACATTCAATTATATGATGATGAATATGGATCGTTCTCATTCTTTCTTTCGATGTCTAATCGAAATCAATTGAATATACAATTCAATTCATATTAATTATCATGAAAGGTTCGACAACGAACATAACATCAATACGAAAACCTTCTACAACTCCTACAACTAGTAGTATTACTGCTTTTGCAGCAACACGTTCAAGACAAAATGATATCTACGAGGATTATTCAGAAGTACGTTTGTGTACTCTATTTAAAGTTTCTTTTTTTTTCTTTTTTTTTTTTTTCTTGAAATAGTATTTAATAAGAAACAGTAGTCATCTCTTATTACATATACATGTTTGATTTTCATTTACACGTTATCTTAGTTCAACAAAGTTACCCTTCTCCTTTTTTTTCTGCTCGTTATAATTCGTCATAGAAACAAGATTTGTCGAAATATAAAAACTAGTATTGATTGATACCAAAAAGAAAAAGACATCAGTGTTTTTGAACAGAAATTTCAAGAAATAAAAAGAGACAAGTAATGGAATTTTTTATGAGAAAAGAAACAAGACATAACAACAATTGATTTATTACTATGTTGTTTTCAAGATTCTTTTTTTTTTCTTGATTTCTATTTTTAGGCTGTTGAAAATTGGCGTCAAAAACGTGAACAAAAGCGTAAACAAAGTTCAAGTGTAATTCATACTGAAGATGAACCAACAACAACAACAACAACAACAACAACAACAGCGAGACTAAATATTGAACCTTCACATCCTAGTCCTAAAAAAAAGTTTGAATTATTTTCATCATTGAAAGATTTTTTATTTTTTGATATTCTTTTTTATAGTTTTGATGTACCTGAAACAAACCCTAAACTACTTTCACCTTCACCTCCACAGATTAATATATCACCACCATCTACAAAAACAAATATATCTACTGGACAATTATCAATATCTAATCGAATTGAATCAAAAAGTCCAACACCTCCACGAAATCGAGTAAACATAAATTATTTAAATAAAGATTTGTTTTTTTGTTTCTATAGAAAATATTTTCTAGGGTCTAGGTAAAATTCATGAAATATTTATTCAAAAACCAATTGATATACGTGGTTTTGGTTTTAAACTTGATGGTGGTCCAGCACAAAATCGACCAATTTATATTTCAACACTTGAAGACGGTATAAAATATAAATCATAAATATAAAAGAAAAAGAACAAAAGTAATTTATTATCTTTTTTCAGGTAGTCCTGCTGATAAAGCTGGATTATGTATTGATGATGAAGTTATATCAATGAATGATGAAAATATTCAACATATGACATTTGATCAAGTACGAAAAATTCTTAAAGAACGAAATTTACGTGGAAGTATTAAAATGGTTGTTAAAACCTATGAAGGTAAAACCTTTCTTATTTTGTGAAAAACAATTTGGACCCCCTACAGATCGTAACAGACGTTGATATATGATCAAAGACTTTATATTAATAATGTCTCGTTATTGCATTTCTGAAAGGTTAAGGGCATCTCTTCCTCTTTTTGACTACTTCGAGTTTTCGAAGACGATACGATCGATTACACTGAAAACTTTTACTACTCATACTTGAAAGTATTCTCCAAAGATAAAATCGGTCTTTTTTATTTTTTATTTTTCTATCCGAATTTTGTACGATCCTAAAAGTCAAGATCCCGATTTTGGCACCGAACATTTACATATTTTTCTCATAAGAAAAAGAAATAACTTAAAATTATCTCTGAGATATAGTCTTAGGTAACTGTAAAAAACGTTTTCAACCCAATAGGATAAAGTTTGATGAGGTTTCGTAATGTACCAGCATGTGGTCCTATGAAAAACCAGAATTTCTCAGAAAAAATCCACTTCAGAAATTTTTTGTTCCTCGAACACGTGTCTTCTTACTTTTAGCGTCTTCAAGAATCAGAAATGATCAAAAAAGAGGGTGGAACAGCAGGTTTCATCATGTTCCACATTTTTAATCTCATAAGGATTGTGCTAATAGTTTCTCTTATTAGATATTGTCGATGATAATTCTCAAACAGTTACAATTGAATATAGTCGAACACCATCACCACAAAAACCTTTATCTAATTTACAATCAAATACATCCGTAACTTCGATATCTACAGCAACAACAACAAGCACAATACTTGTTTCATCAACGACTCCATCAAATGTTCAATCACCTGTTTATACATTTTTACCTGGTACTCCTCCACTTCCTCCTACGTCGTCTTCGTCTATTTCAACATCTGATACAATTCCTAATGTTCCTATTCATCAAATACCATCATCATCATTAAATATATTCGCACCAAAACCATTTCGTTCAACAGCTTCAATTAATATTGATACACCAAAAAATAATGAAACAGTAAGATTATTTTTTATCTTAATGATTTATCTTTAAATAACACAAAAAATATACATTTTGGAGAAAAGAGCTGCTCATTGTTTCACATACATTAGATGCATGACAATAAAATATTGTTGCTAAACAAACAAAAAAAAAAAAAAACCCGAGATTATATAATAGATATATTTTTCTTTTGTTCCATTGATTAAAAAAAATAAAAATATCAACAACAACGCATGCATGGCTATTGTTTTGTGTTGTTCAGAATTCCACTTATTCATCACCAATTGAAGCCTTTCGAAAGATGCTTGATCCATCAAACAGCATCAACAAAAATATGAAAAATGAGGTAGTCGAACATGTGTGATTAATAATAAAATATAAAAAAAAACTTTTTTTTTATCTATTTAACTGCACGTCTTCTATTTCAACAACTCAAACAAATTTTTAATATATATATATATATATATATGTATTTATGCACATAAAAATAAAAAACATGTACACTAATCATCATCGCTCTTGGTGTTTAGTGAATGATAGATCTTTTTTTTGTTGCCTTATAATTCTCTTTGTTTTTTTTTTCCATGACTAATTCATTTTTTGCGTCGTGTTGTTTTTTTCTGTCTCTTGAAATATTCGAATATGATTGTATTGTTAATTTAATCATTTTGTCATACAATGAAAAACATCACAGATGAGTAGACAATATTAAAAAAAAAACTTTTTTTCTGTTTTTTATATTTCAGTATGTTAGTGCATGTATACCACATTAGAATATTTATTCTTCTTCTTCAAAAGAAAACGAAAAGATTCAATACTGTTTAGTATAGTTTTAAAAGTCATTAGATTTTATCATCTTGTTTGTTCTTCTGTAGGGAGTATGTATAGATTTCTCTGAATATGGGTAGTATTTCTCTCGAGTCTTTAATAAATAACTCAGTTTTCTCGGGACTTAATTTAGAATCAAGCTTAAAATATAATTATAATAGAATAGTAAAATTCAATAAAATATTTTCATTTCAATTGCTTTTTTTAATCCATAGTGAGATTCTTTCAATGGTTTGCACGATATACTAATGAATTCTATCATGCATGAATGACTACTTCTGATATTTATTACTACTACTACTACTGTTATTATTGCATCCTCTATATCTTTCTTTTTCTTGTTTATTTCATATCATATTACAAATCGATTTCATCTTTTTTTCCTTTATAGACAACAGGTACTGTCGAACAACAATCACCAACTGTAACAAAAACAGCATCTCGAGATGTAGTTAATACGCGTAAATTCTCGTTTTTTTTTTCTTATTATATGATTTATCTGCAAAATTTCTTTGATTTTTCTTTCTTCTAGTTCTTTCTAATCCAACATTAATTTCATCAAATCTTATCGATTCAACATCACCTATAATAACTAATCCAAAACTATCACCACCACCATTAACATCAGTTGATACTTTATTACATGGTATATCAAATTTTAATAATAATGATGAACAAAATAATGATTCTCCTATTGCACAAGTACGTTCATCAGTTGAAAAAAAAATGAGTCAATTACAACAAGAGCTTTTACTTGGTTTTCCTCATACACAAACATCACGAGTATCATATATATATATATATATGAATTATTTTTCTTTTGTATACAAAATATTTCTTTATAGGAACAACGACCAATAAATATACCAATTGATTTAACGAATGCTTCATTATCAAATTCTTCATTAAAAACATCATCAGCACCATTTTCACCTTCAATTCAACAACAAGATTCAAATTTTAATAATAATAATCGAACATATGGTTTAAAAATTAGTCCCTATGAAAATGCAATTCATTATTTAGATTCACATAATCAACAACAATCATCATCAAATTATGATAAACGAACTTTACAAGAATTATCATCAATATCAACAACAACAACAAATCGTTCATCTACATCACAATTATCTGATCGTACAGTTAATGAATTAAGAGTTAATTTATCTTCACCACCAACATTTCAACAACAACAACAACAACAACAACAAAAAACTTCTTTTCAATTAGATGAAAAAATTCCACAACAACGTATCACTAGGTTAATATTTCTATAATAAAAAAAGAATTATAAATTAATTTTGAAAATACTCTCTTTTTATTTTCTAGTAAACAACTTCATACAACACTTAATCAAGCACCAAAAAAAAGTCATTATGAAGATCATTCATGGATCACTGATGATCAAAGAAAACCAATTATTACTTCATCTGCGCCACCACCACCACCACCATCATTATCACAAGTATCTTCATATAGTAATGAAAGAAATGGTAGTAGTAGTAATCATCGACCTACGTCACAAACATCTCATCATCATCATCATCAAGAATTACAAATGGATAGACAAGTATCAAATCAATTAAATACATGTTATTATGATGATCGTACAGATGAATCTCAGCGTTATCAGTCACGAACTAATCAACAACAACAACAACAACAAAAAGATTTTGATCAATCGAATAATCGACATCATCGAACAAAACAATCAGCGTTAGTTGAAAGAAAAATTTATTTTACACAAATTTTAATTAATTATTTTTGTTTTTAGAAAATCACCTATTCGTACGACGATTAATAGTAATAATAATCGAGTTTTGTCTGTTAGTGGTAAATTACGTTGTTCAAGATGTAATGATGAATTAGGTAAAAAGAATTCTTTTTTTTTATTTTCTATTTTTTTTTTTGTTTGATTGGATTTTTAAGGTCAAGGATCAGCAATGGTTATTGAATCTCTTGGTTTATATTATCATATAGAATGTTTTCGATGTTTTGTTTGTAATATTCCTTTATCATCATCATTTGAAGGAACAGATGTTCGTGTACGAAGTAATCGACTTCATTGTCAAAATTGTTTTTCAGATGAAAATGGTAAGTGATTTTTTATTTATTTCATTATATATGTTATATTAATTATAAACAGAGATTTCCTTAGGCGCGTGGAGATCAAATGTAAGAAGAAGAAGAAGAAGAAGAAGAAGAAGAGTTTACTTTTCTTCGTTGTTTTGTTTTACGTTGTGCAATATTGCGTAAAATTTTTTAACGCTTCACTACATAACATTATACACATGAGCTGCATTATATTGACATTACATACTGTTACAACAGTGTTTTATTCAGTGTGGGGAGTATCTAGAGTTTGTCTGGTTGGTTCGGATCTGAAATTTTGGATCCAATGGGTGTTATCGGTGTTCCTCTAAAGATCTGGTCAGCCTTTCCGAAGTTTATAGTTATTGTAACATGTGTCTATGCTCTCAAAAATAGAATGTTCGTTCTCCCGAAGTTTCAAATTACCTTTCTAGAAAAGAAAACCTGAATAAAACATTGTGTTATATTTCGAGTTTCATTAAATTTGAAAAGTTTCAAATCGAAAAATTCGAAATGATTTTTTTGTTTTGTTAAGCATTAATAATCGTGCCAAGTTTAAAAAATAAATCATTTTTTCTTAGAGAGATTAGGGATAAGTTAATTAGTAATATTCTCGAAAGTTTGACTAAATGAACTTTAAATTGTTATTTGATAATCCTTATCAAGCAATATACACGTTATTTGTAATTTACTAACGCGCATCGTTTTTGTTTTTTTTTTTTTCTTCACAAATACCAATCCCTATTACCCTTCGAACAAGTATTGAATTACTACTTTTTTTTCCAGAAAGCTTTATTATTATTTCTGATTAAAGCAATCAATTTGATTTTTTCCCTCTTTCCCCCCCCCCCCCCCCGCATGTTTTAACTAACAGCATAACTCAATAAAAGCGATTCGTTTTTTTTTTCTTAAACTAAATTTTTTTTCTGTTTAGGTGTAAAATTAAGTGCTGTCTAATATTATTAATTTCAAAGCCGTCCTTTCATGACTATATGCAATCAATCAATCAATCATTTCGTTTATTTCAAATTCAATATCATTCATATTTGAACGAACATTCCACATCTATATTATTATATCGAACATGTGGTTTCTATTTCTTGTTCAATAAGAAGAACTGATGAAAATAAAAAAAAAAACCTTTCTTCTTCCATTGAAATTTTTTTCTTTTTATCGTGTGATAAGTTCTGTATATTGTTTCGGTAACAAACAAAAAAGCGTTCGGTGTATATAAAAACTGATTGGTGCTGTTTTCTTTTTTTCATTGTATAGTTGTGTGTTTTTCTTTTCTTTCTTTTTTTTTTCATTTATTATAACTATACCTATTTGCAGAGACGAACAGTTTGTTTCTTGCTTGTTGTTACTGTTGCTACTAAGCTTGACTGATTCTTTCCTTCTTTTTTTTTTTTTGTTTAGTCGTTTCTTCTTCCTTTCCTATTTTCAGTTTTATATATATTCCAAGAAAATGAAGAAACCGTTCATGGTCTCTCTGTTAAATTTTGTTTTTCGTATTGAACATATGGTGTAAAACGTAATTGGACAAATGTCGACCGCCCATTACGCTTCGATAGAAGAATACTGAAAGAGAGCTTTTTTTTTATCAGTTTAAAGAAACTTTGCTCCTCTTTTAAATTCTCTAACTTTATTTTGTTATACATACATAAACAAAATAGCCAAACCATAATTTCCGATTCGGATTTCTTTTGTGGAGCTTACATATTTTTTCGAAGAACGTAGTGAGCATAGGTCCTAGCAACCCGTAAGAGGAATGCCAATGACTAGAGCCCTACAGACAATAGATAACCTGCCCTACTCTGACAGGACAGACTGCAGGATATGAGTGTTGTAATCTATCAACTTGCAACTGATTTTGCACATAAGATATTGTCAAAATCTTTTCTAAAGTTATACAGTAAGAAAAAAGATAGAAATGAAAGAGAACTGATAACCAAATTACATTGATGACAAAGATATTCAACAGAAATATATATGTCACTAATCTATTCTTTATACATATAGTTATGCAAATGTATATGTAGTTTTCTAATTTTGAGTTTTATCTTATTCTACAGAACATAATTGAAACCATTGGTATTCAAAAAGAATATTGATCTGTAATATCTGCAATAAAGTTTAACATTATCATTAATAATGCACGAAAAAAAAAAGAGAAAAAATAATTTAGTCATGCATAATGACGTTATGTAGAAATTTGCAGAAAATGTAGAAAAGGATTGTGGTTATAATTCTAATGAAATTGATCGTTATATTGACACTAAACTTTCATTTTCAAAAGATAATATGTTGTTAGGACGATGGAATAAGCATTTGTTAATAATTCTACAACTTTCTTCATTAGCAAAGTCGTTGAAATACATTAATAATTGATATTTGTGAACTTTAGGGAAGAGCAAGTGACGAAATTGCATAACAGCATAGTGAATGAAAAGATTCTACTATGAATAACACGTTTAATATTAGATAAGTATCCAATGATCTTTAGAAATAATCTCTTATTTGAAGTTCCCATTAGTTCAGCTCCATCGGAACTTGTTTTCAGTTCATCAGGTTGAATATCGGAAAAATGAAGTCAATCATTAAATCCAGATGTTGTTGATAATAAGAAGTTTTTGAGATATGTAGTGTTGTTTTTTGTTTGCTTTAAGATTGAAATAAATCGAATGATATTACATAAAAAAATGGTATAAAAGTTTGGATCTTTCTCTAATGCCAATCAGAACAGAAGGGGTTAGATTATCAAAATATTAGTAGGGCAGGTTTCAAGTTGTCAAAATGACGTGTCCTAAAATCCTCTACCAATGACCATTGACTATGTTTCAATAGCAACTAAAGATAACAGACATCAGATTCCTTTTCTAGAGTTGCTTAGCAATGGAAAAAGGTTCTGAATAGCATTAATAACTAGACTTAGACTGTCCTAGAACATTCTAAAGCTTTCCTCGAAATCAGGATGGTTGGAATACGTTTGTCAACATAATATAGCTTTTGATTTTTGTGCAGATAATTTATATGCTCAAGTGAAATATAAAGATGTAAAAAATGATTTTGTTAAATGTTTCAAATATCTAGAGGTCGACATGACAACTAAACTCAGACGAAGGATTTATATCTTAAATCATGTGAAGAAAATTTTAAAAAATCTATGACACTTCGAATTTTTTTATGAAAATACCTATTTCTCAAATTCAACTAAGAAAGAAATTCTTCCTTGTTTATGCTTTCCCATATGTTAGAAAGGATAATATTCAAAATAAACTCACTAGAAAAATGATGAATGAGCAAAAAACGAGAATAAGACGGTGATACTTCACTGGATAAAAACGAAACATTTTCAAGATTACAGGAGTCACTTCTATTTATTTATTTCCAAACGATGATCTCACTGATTTGATTCTTGATAATTCACAAACAGATCATAAAAAAACCAAACTACGACTCCCAAGAATTGTTCGAATACTTGCTAAATCTTTACTATACTAATAATTAAATTATAATCATGACGTATGAACAGGTAGATGACTATAGCTTTTAGATGCTCAAAAATCTTTCCTTATATTGTAAGAATTCATTTGCTAGAATAAAAAATGAATTGACATACCAGTACCATAAGTTCGAAATGGTTCCAAATTTCAACGAACAAAAGCTGTTTGTTTTATTCGAAAAAGATATCAAAAACAAGAAACATTAAGTTCAAGCAAAAATAAAAGGAAAAACGTCGTAATATGAAAATTTTAATCTAATAACACCATTTTTCGAACGTAAATTGGAATTAAATATCAATTAATAAACATATTCAGCTGATTTTTTTTTTATGTCGGAAAATCAAATGTAAAGATTCACCATAAACCTCAAATTATTCACTCGACTCTTTTTGTTTTTGTTCAAGGATCTGTTAAAATATAATCAATCATTGATTGATAAATGTCTCGACGAAAAAAAAAACATCTTGCCTATTTTACATATAAAAAAGATCGATATCAAAACTCACTAGCAATCAATGATTCGTATCTGATTAATGCCGCCATTTAAGATCATATATATATATATCGATTATCTTCTATAATGATGATTCTTACAGAAATTTAGTAGCATAGAAGAAGAAAAAAGTCACTAGAGAAAAAGATATTTTATCATCCGAATGACGTTAATCGATATCTCAAATTTATTAATGTTTAACGACGCATTGCACGAGCGAAAAATCTAAGTAGTAAATCATACTCTTTATCATATTTTATTAAAAACAAAAACGCCCTTCATCAACACTAGTAGTCATTCATTGATAATGACTTGTCATTATAAATGAGTCAACAATTGAGCAATAAAGTCAATCTATCATCAAAAAATGCACATATAACATTAAAGTGATAAGTGACGACCAGCCAAAGATGTTTCTAATTTACTTACAATTTTTTTTTTGAGACATGATTAGCAGCATTTGTTTTCTTTGTTATTATGATCCAAGATCAAAGAAATGATCGATTCAATGAATGAGAAAACGAAACAAAAAAAAAAATTTCTTTTTTTTTAAAATCTTTTATCTACTATTATTTGTTTGAAAGCAAATATATGACAATGAAAAGCATCAAGAGATAATTGCTTATGGGAATTGCAATATACACTAAACAATCATTTTATTTCCCCATGAAAATGGCCGATCTCTCTTCCTCTCTTAAATCATTATAAGTCAATTACACATGTTCACAATTTAACAGACAAACCGGAATTATATTGCATAAGAATTTTAGTTTTCTTCTTTTTCAAATTAGCCGCTGTTGATCAGAAACAAAAGATACGTTGTTTGTTCGAATTATAGCGTTGAAAAATAGATTATGATGAATTGCAAATGAAAATTGATAGTTTCAGTCAAAGAATTATAGTTATGAACTTCTACTTTTAGATATAGGTTAAGCAGCTGTTCCATCGTGTACATGCAAAATATTCAAGCTGATGCTTCTTTTCATTGAGAAAATGTTCGACTGTCTAATTAGAAACTGTATAGTCATCCAAGTGTCATCATGTAGACAGAATGTTCCTCTCTTATAATTTAGAGCAAATAATCAATTCACAGATTATTAGAACATCGAAAGTAACTACAACAGGATAAAATGTTTGCAAAATGCTCATAATCATCATTATGTGATATCGAACATCTCCTAAAATTATGTTTACATCAATCTTAGAACATATTCAATGTTAGAGTCTGTCAGATTCAAAATTTTCGAATTCGACACAGAACCATCACAACGGACTCTATTCAATGTTATTGTGTGAAATTATGTTTTTTCTAAATAATCTCAATATTTATTTATGAATTTATTTTCTTTCTAATTTTGTATAAGAGCAACACTTCTCTATGACAAGAACTCTTTCTCTAGATGAAAACTATACAATTTCTAATTAGACAATAGCACATCTGCTTAACTAATGCGAACTAAAACGTTTCAAAGAATTATTACACAAAATTATATGCATTTCATCCTCTATCTTATCTTTTAGCTGATTTCAGACTCTCAGCAGGAGTAAATGATCTTATATATTTGACTTTTTATGATTATATCAGTAATATAACATCAATCTCTTGAGTGGTAATATCATATTTTGTTGCACCCCTGTAAATTTCAACTCATTAAAGAGATCAGATAGTCTACCTTTGATGAATGAATTCAATTGTTTTGAAATACGTATGATTAAATCTAGATTCTTTTAATTTAAAGTTGGATTTTTATACAGAAAACAAAAAAAAAAACACCAACGTTCAAAATTAAATCACGATAGAAAATCTTTTTTAATATGTACTGGTATAGGACAACAAATTTTATTATTTGTTTGACAATTTGTTGAAAATTGTCTTAATTGTCCTGTTTTAATACGTTTCCATTTTGCTCGACGATTTTGCCACCAAATTTTTACTTGTATTTCACTTAAATTTAATGTTT